TGGGCAAAAATTTGATTCAAGGCTTGAAACTTGGCATGGGCAAACTTATGAGTCCAACATGAAGTATGAAAGTCACTTTGGGAATTGTAGGTCAAAATATCCCTGTGCAAATTCAAACCCTAATTTAGGTCAACAGTGCAAGGAGGTGTCTTGAGCAGAGCAAACCAAAGCTTGGTCTTGAGTTCCAAGAGCCTGGTGATGAAAAATGTTGATAAAATGAGAGGGAAAATTTTTGGGGTACAACAGTGAGGTTTGAACTTCTCAAGCTTTATTGACTAGGGCATGGAAATAAACTCATGAACTCATGGGGTAACTTGTTAAATCTCATTGTCTTCACCTACATGGATAACAAGTAAGACAAACCAACATTGCATTTTATTAGTTAAATGAAGAAATAAAAACAATATTCATGATCAACAAAGGAACATAAGTCAAGGTGCTTGGTAATCCCTCAAAATGGGCAAAACTAAATGTAGGGAGGGGAACCAAGAATCCTAGTGTGATCTTGTTGTGAATGAATCATCATGGTATGATGAAGGGATCTTAGGGGTAAAAATTGGGCTGCAACATCTAGAAAAGTGCTTATTTCAAGAATCAATTATACAAAAGTTCTTAAATTAAGAAAATCAACCGTGGAATCGAATAGGAGGTTAAGGAGAAGATATCGTCGATGTCGGATCGAAGATTGGAGAGCTCTAGCAAGAGAGGGAGGGGGCGAAATTCTTGAGGAGGGAAAGAGATTTATTCAACTTCCTTTGTGTTCTTGAGAAAACTTGAGATAAAAGTTGCTTTTATCTTCTTGAACTTGAGAGATAATCAAGAGTAGTATTTTTGTATTTGTGAAATCACAAGAGCCCTGCGAGGTCGTTCTCCAAGAGAGAAAAGAATCATGTTATATCCCAAGAGAGAGTGAATGAAGTTGTATTCCATCAAAGAGAAAATACCAATTTTGTTATATTGAAGTCAACACTTGTTATCGTTCAAAAGTTTGTTACGGTTGTTACGCGATGATAAATGGAAGAAGTTCGTTACGATTTACTCTCACCATGCAGGCAACATGAATCATTGCATGGCCATGTAATAGCAGCAAAACATCATTCCCTGCATGAACTTTAATATAATAACTCTTTTCCTCAAAGATTCCATTACTACGCATGGCCATGTGGTCGCCTTTGCGATCGTATATCTTAAATCACGACATTCCTCGCGACACCATCTTAGCATCACTGAAAAGAGGACATATCAAGGAGTATTTTTCATGTTGGCCTTGAGTCAAAATAGCGCTTGTAGCATGCCTTAAAATGGAAATAAAGTCGTGAAATCGCAACTAAAAGAAATACCGGTAATTGTGCTAACACCGATAATTATCCATCAACATTCTACCCTCCACTTTATGGCTTAATAGCTCAAAATATAGAACTCTTCAAGATGATATCTCAACATCAAAGTTTAAGAGGGAATTTCTCTGAATAAATTTCATGCTGGAAGCTTCTTGAAATAACACCTGAAACATACTCAAAAATAGTCACAAAGTTGTGATGTCAAAACTGGCTATAGTAGCTGAAACTTCATTATGCTGAAAATTTAATCACCAATCCCATTGTTGTGATTTCAAAACCCCATAACTTTCTCAATAATGATCTGAATGAGGCAAACTTGGTATCGTTGGAAATAGGACGAATGATATAACAAGTTTGTAGTTCATCCCCAATCCAAATATGGCTTTAATCATGGACAAAAATTGTCATGAACACACGTCTTACAACTGCTCAACAAAATTACAGGCCTGGCTGGGCAAGCCTCGCGTATGACCCCATGCATTTTCCCACTTCAACCTTCCTACTTTGCGCCTCGATATCTCTCCCCACAATGCATAAAACGAAACAAAATTTAAACCAAAACTGAAGAGTACACAACACACTCCAACTTTTATATTCAACATTATTCGAAATGAGAACTAAATTCATGAGAAAAATCATCATAAACATGTGCACGCCACCTGTTTGATAAAATGCTAGCCTGGCTAGGCAAGTATTGGCTGAATTTTTCATTTCAAGCCCTCCAAACGTAAACATCATAACTTTCTCCATAAGCCACCAAATGAAATGATTCTTGAACCAAAATCAAAGGGGAGACTTTGATCTTCAACTTTTATGTTCAGAGATTTTTCATTTGAATCTAAATGGGACCCTAAAAATAGCCATGAAGTTTGCAACATTTTAGAACATCTTTTGAAAATTGCTAAGTGTTCAAATCACTTAAAATGCAAGAAACTTCAGATTCAGCCGATTCTTTCGAACTTCCTCAAAATCTTATCAAATTTTCTCATATTTTGACTTTTGACAATAATCTTGATCCAAAATCCCATTTAGTCAACCTTTGATTTTTGTTGACTTTCGCTCATACACACTTAGATCTCTTCTTATTCAATCGATCCTTATTCTTCTGATAACAGCATGGAGATCAGTAGACCATATGTAGATACTTTTAAGACTGATGGAGAACCATGAGACCGTCTTAAGCTTGAAAAATCAGTTAAATCAACCATCGATCAAGAACACTAATTGCATCATAAAAGATAGGAAATGTTGATCATAGCTCCAAACCCTAATCCAATCTTGAAGAACTCTTGAACTCATATATCTTGTGACCTGATATGATGTTTATGATGGAGAGGTTTCAGATGCTTGACCTTTGAAGATATGTCTTCTTCTCTTGGGAAGTGTTCACTCATCCACCCAAAACTCTCGATCCCATTCAATGAATTAATGCAAATGCAAATGATGAATATGATGATGAAGTATAAACTATTTTGTTTACAATTAAGAGAGAAAATTTTGGAGTGCAACACCAAGACTCGGTCAAAACAGGAAGACGTGTCTGTAACTAGCTGTTTGTTTTAAGGAGAAGGCATATTACGAACAGAGTGGCGTTCTGGACGTTTCCTGGTTGTCTGCTCGACTCGTTTCGACCATACAGAGAGATAGTTGTTGGCTTGGTCAAGTGTGCGTACCGGGCATCGCTAATCGCGCTTCTTGCAGCGTGGTCGGCCATGGATGTTAGACCAATGTTATTGAGCCATGCCAAGAGTAGAAGCGGATTGGGCCAATTCTAGCTATTGGGGCAGTCCAGAACAGTTATATCATAAATGTCAAAAGTATACACTAATCAAATCCTTTTTTTAAATCAATATTTGTTTCTAAAGAAAATATGTGAGCTAATGTATTGGCAACTTAATAATTCTTCATGTCATATAATTCTTTTTTTTTCCAACCAATACATGTATTAGAAAGTTATAGAAAGAATCTTACAATTATAATTCAATTTGTCTGTATAATAACTTAGAATGCAATTAAATCAACATAATCATAAGAGAAGATTGTTGGTTTGATAGTTAAAGTTGTTTTAATTTTAAATAAAAAATAAAAAAATTTAACAAAAAGTCTGCGGACAAAACTCGCTCTGCCTCCGTCCTCTTTTTTAAGCGGGTTAGACGGGGCATACCAACTTAAAGTACCGAGTCGAAAATCTCAATTTAACCTGTCAAAAATATTGGGTTAAACGAGCGGATCTGATCCATTTTGTCACCCCTAATCCAACATGTGTTCTTTCTGCACCTCCATACAACTTAAGAAAGGTAGATCAACCTGAATACTTTGAACACTTCTTCCATGTAATTATTTTGCAAAATGCGGTCAATCCAAAGGATCAATTCACGAAAGACTTCATAAAGAAATTACATTAGCATAAAAGTTCAAATCTTTACCCACGTTGTATTCAAACCTCTACCATTATGTCTGTCCTTAAACTATGTTTAGATTGAGGGAATAGAATGGAAATGAGCGAAATAGAACATGATAGAATGAAATGTAGTGAAATAATGGAGGGAAATGAAACAACATAAATTTTATTTCATTATTTGTGTATTTTTATAATTTGACGGAACGAAATAAAATAAATTAGTTCACTCTATTGCATCCACCCCAAATCGGATGAAATGAAAATTAAAGAATTAAATGAAATATGATAGAATACATTTCATCATGTTCCGCTCCATTCCATCTAAATTTAAACATAATATTATTTCATTTCATTCCGCTTCATTTTGTCACGTTCCATCAAGACAAACATAACCTTATTGCCACAATCAAAAATTTATAGAACAAATTTATTATTATGAATATGATATGATTATAAAACTTTATTTAGCATTCAATTATCGACTGAACTTAAATCTAGAATTGTCTTCCGTACACATTAATCATTGGAACTCACTTAATCTCTTTGGCTGAAATTAGGTCACGCTTGAACTTTATTTTTTAGAATATTCAAACTTGACATTGCATGTCTGACTCTGTGCAAGCTATGATTAATCAATTAATTGATACATAACAGATTGCTTTCATGATCTCGCCTCCGTTATGTCTTTTGCCTAAATTCATGTCATTGTTAAATGCTATGTGGCATTTGAAGTGTGTGAACTTATTCAAAATCAACGAACTACGTCGTCATTCATATTTGAGAGGGAATTTGTTAAATAAATGCAGTGCATGAACTCCTTGAGAGACAATTCTGATACTCAAATTGGATCACTGGTAAACAGAGATCTTGTGTAAACCATTTCTTATTGAAACCAATTATCACACATATACACTGATACAACTTATTACAAAAAACTATTTCAAATGGATCAATATAATATAGGCCGCGCCATGTCTCGCGCCATGCCTCGCCAAATAATGTCCAGTGACTCCTTACTAGTCTCTTGGTTCAAAACATATCAAACTTGAGCTATGTTCAGACTGAAAATGAGTGAAACAATATATATAATCTTCCTATAGTCAATATTCACTACTCAGTGAGAGTAAATTGTGAAATACATCTGGCTCAAGAATATACTTGGTCAGGTATTCCTAGACCACAAAGAATAGACAGATTCCGATTCCCCAAAAAACACTATCAGAAAAGGAAGGGAGGGGTTCACTAAACTGTGACACACACTATAGCTGAGTAACTAGGAGTTCATTCCATGTATCTGGAATTCCAGGCAAGCACCAATGCAAACAGTCACTAGCATTAACAGTTCCTCTAAGAGTGTAGCGGGACATGTGAGCTTCGTCCCTTAATTGCGAAAGAGGGGTTATATCCAAGATCTTAATCTTTGTACCCTTTAGTGCAGCCTCAATAACTGGATCACTGGATCCTTTCTGCGAGACCTCGCTACCATTTGATAATGGGATAGTGTTATCACAGCTCCCACCGGTATTCCAATCTCCGTTGAAGAAATGCCTAGGAGATAAAGTTCGGAAGAAAACTTTGAGCTGGGGGTGCAAAACAAGTTGCAAATCAAGCCATCTGACTACACTCTTGATTGCTAAGCTTTTGGCATTTGCAATTTCTTTAATCTTTTTGTCTTCATTTTGCTTTCCATTAACATGCATTACCCACCTGTTTCCGTTGAGCTTCCCACGGTTCCAATGGTGTCCTGTATTGAGAACCAAAACATTAAAGCGATGGAGGAACTGTCTAATAAATGCGGGTGGACGGTCTAAATGCATGGCAATGTTTGTTTGTTTGTCGGTGATGTTTAGGGGTACAAGATCGCATAAGCTAGCTGACCAATAATATAGAATGGTGGTATTTGTCTTGGGAAATCTGTAAGCCCATCCATCAGGACGTATAGCTCCACGGTGTTTTACAAGACCATATTCCCACCCCACGTTTTCAACTTCTGGACTATCTTCTCCACCAGTGGCCATACACATCAGAGATTGAAATTGTTGGCGGCCCAATGAATCACCTATGAATGCAATTGTTTTGTCCTTCATCCTACATTTCACATTAGGCATTAAACACTGCTCAGAAACTAACTTTTAAATAAATACATATGCAGTTCTGATCTTTTTTAATTAAAAGTAAAGCAGAAGAAAATGAAGATGAAAAGATTAAAAGTACTGATTTAACAAAATACAAATGCACCAATTGTAAAATTCCAGATTTAGTAATTAGAATAACACATGTAAGAAAATAGATTTAAAAATTAAAGCAATGTGGCATAATTTATTTGTGTCAACAGTTATGAACTGTAGAAGGCAAAACTTTGGATGAGTTGTTTGAGACAGGAAAGGACTGGCATGATTAGATAAGATTATGAACATTTTGAGAAATTAAAACAATCTTCTTATTTTCAAGAAATAAAGGTTCCAAAGCAGATTTGAACCGTGGTATTTATTTCCAATAATCAACAACATCAAAACAAAAGACTTCACAGCATGGTACCGGACAAAAATCAAATAAATATACAACCAGAAAATAATCCTGTTGAGATATGTGTTAATAAAAACCAGATTAAAGAAAGAGAAAGAATTATACCTACTTTCTCAAGAACTTAGACCGGTCAAACTCTTGCATGTCGCAATTTTTCGGCTGCCAGCGGTATCCCTCAAATGAGAAATCTGGTCGTGGTGTCATTCTACAAGACCACATTGATGATAACCATTGCTTACAGTTGAAACCAGAATAGAGTGGTCTCCTGCTATCTGCAACCCACTTACCATTGGCGTAATCACAAGCTGCAAAGCATAAATCCAATCAACGTTAAACCTGCCCAGCAAACTTAACTGAAGGACGAGTCTTAAGCAAATGCAAGCAGCGAAAAAACATATAACATGCAGAGCATTTGATAATTTTCTGGTACACTAGTAGTTAGAGCCCTGTGGCCATTTTCCATGCACAGGGTCACTTGTTAGATAGTCTAGATTCTAGATTGCACTGATGGACATGCTGCTAGTAAGTGGGACTCTCAACAGGAGTTTGTAATTGTATATTAACACCTCCAAATAGTTAATTTATATAAATTTCTATCAATAAGTTGAACATTTGAAAGCAAACTTTTACTTCTAGGCTAAGTTATCATGAACTCATAAAGGTCAACTGTGTAGTTGTAAGGAGTGCACATGATTGTCGAAATAGTACCTCTTAATTCTTACATAGTTTGAAAAAGGGAAAGAAGAGAAACAAATTGCTCTAGTAAGCCGACTTTTGATTCATGAGGAAACAATTAATTCAAAAGAGTCAACCAAGAGAATAAATTGTCTAGACGTCAGAATGATTGAAGAGAAATTATCTTACGTTTTTAGTTAGGCACGAGCGAGTGCCAGCGAACCCGGTTTGGAGGGTTATACCAGGAGACACAAGTGGTAGAGAGGTTGGATATCAGTTTTTTAAAGGGCTGATGGGAGGTTAAAGGGCATGGATGGTTATATCTGTGTGAGCGTGACTCAGAAAAATTGGTTGTATGAGACAACTGTTGAAAGATGCTTTACAACCTTGTTCCATTCAATCACATAATGATTAAGATTCTTTGGTTAATTCATTTTTCTTCCTCTTTTGCTCGGAACATAATATCTGCAACTTAAACGTTATGTGAGCAAGTAATAATATCCCTGAAGCATGCCCCATGGGCACCCCAAAATCCATGTCGTACCCGTTACTCGCGCATAAGTATCGAGTACGTTTCAAAGCTATATTTATAATTTAAAAAGGGGATAATCCATTGGGCTACATTCGTGTACTTTTTGAGTACATGCCCACGGCCCAATAACAAAATATATAGAAATTGCTAAAGAAAACACTATTTAACCAGAACAAAATGTGAACTGAAATCAATCAGCATGCTTATTAACTCTAAGATGGATGTGTATGCCAAAAAAACTAGTTGCAGAAAAGTTAATTTGACAGAGGTGCATTTATAAATCAGCCAAAAATAGTTAGTTGTGATGAAATTAAGAAAAAATTCTACCTTCATTTCTGGAAGAAGACTTCAAATCTTTTTTGTGTGAAAAAGCCGGAGATTGGGGACGTATAGAATCTACAGCTGCAGCACCCTTGATACCAAGATGCAATTTTGTTTCATTTACTCGGGAGGGGGTTAAGGATTTTTCCACGCCTTTTCTCGGCTTTGTTGTTCCCACTGAATCAATTGGGAGTTCCATATGAAAGTCTAAGCAGATGCATTTAAAGAAAAATTAAAAACCCATTGCATAGTTTGAGAGACAATAAATATGAGGTTAATGAAAAAGTAATGATTTAAACACAAGCATAAAGTGGAGTAGAAACCTGAAGGTAAGTGGTACCATTCTTGAGCTGATCTAAAAGTGTTGGCTATAGGATTTGTTTCCCAAGTCCAGAGTAATGTGCTAAAAAGAACAAGAACAACTAGGGCTAATGCTACAGAAACAGGTCTGCCTCTGAAGCTATAAATATTTCCTCCTTTCATCTGTGTTTACACATTACACCATCGGCAATTCTTCTTATTGTCGAGGCTTTATCTGTGCAGGTGTAAGAATGAAGCGATCACACACAAATAAATATCCAATAATCCAATTTCTAACGTTAATGATCCATTTACAAAGCAGTAATAGTTATAAGATAATGGCGTAATTAAGAACCTTGATCGGAATGAATCCTAACTCGTTGCTTTGTCGAGGTGAATCGAGTGGCGTCGGTTTATTCGCAATTGCAGATCGAGTGCGGAGTTTGCCTTGAGCTTTGAAGGAGACCCACGATGATGCTCTATTTTTGGGTTTCACTGCACCGACAGGGGTCCAATTAGAGCATGCCACGTTTCACCGTACGGGATGTGTTTGTTATTTAACCAAATCATCAAGGATATTATCGTAGTTTCCGTTCATAAACAATTCTCGCCCGTATTAAATGGCGTAACGATGCAAATAGAAACTAAACTATGGTTTATGCGCTGGAAACATTTAAACCAACTTTCAAACAATCGTTTGTTTGATAACTATTACTTCATTTTGTTGTTGCCGTAACTGTATATTTTTATTAATATTCTTTCATTTTAAATATACATGACATTATTTTATCTATATTACCACGGAGTATTAACCTAATTTCAATGACTTCCTCTAAAAGTAATTTCTTATTCAAGATATATTACGACGGAGTATTAACCTAATTTCAATGACTTCCTCTAAAAGTAATTTCTTATTCAAGATGTAGCTGTCAATACTTATTCATTCCTTTAACAATTTTAGTTTTCCCTCCTGATCGTACCTGATCAGAATTGGACCGTCACAGCTGACTTTTGGTTAGATTTGAAGGAGATGAGAGGTACCTGCAAGACACTCCGATGGCAAAGTGAGAGATGGAATGAGCAAGCAAATATGTACGTGGGTGTGAATGAATGAATATTTGACTCTCTCGAAATAGAGGGTACTTATAGCCCCCAGCGCTGGGCCAAAGTCTCTTTATTGGGCTGATCAAACAGGCCCAACAAAGGGACTGTCAGGTTCTACGTGAGTAGTGGAGACCTACACGTGGCCCCCTACCTGGATGATGCTCTCCGCAAGACGAGGAGGATAAAGACGCGATCTTCCCAGGACCATGAGGACTCCGCGAAATCCGAAGAGGTTGAAAGTCAGCCCTACGAGGAGGGTGCTCGTTCCTCACGGGCACCGGCGGGAAGTAATCGTAACCGACTAGATACCCATGATCGGGGTGTGCTCGGAGGATATACTGCTCAGCATGATATGTTGACAAGCTTGGATTGGGCCTCACTGGTGATTAGGCCACGGGCAAGCCCAGTCCAGAACAAGAGCCCCCAAGTCGTTGCTCCTGGTAAGGGAGTTATGACTTGATTCAAGTTCGCCCCTTCGCGAGACTCGCTTGCGCGACACAGGGGTTTTCAATCGGGGATGTGAGACATCGCCTGGTTCGTGATTTGCCCCGTGCAGCGATCGAGAAGTGTTCGAGGAGCACTCGCGGGGAGGTGGTGATGCGTCAGTCAGACACATGGTGCGGCTCTTGGAAACCACAATGTCGCCCTAGGGAGTAGGGTCATCATTGTCTACGCGAGTAGGCGTCGAGGACGGAGACGGTTCGTGGTTCCCCGACGCGACGTTTCATATTCCACGTCATCTCTATAAATAGGGCTTCAGGACCCATAGTTTGTTTTCACGTCTTCACGCTCTCATATTTTCTCTATTTTCAATCACCGTGCGTTTTCCTAGCGTCGCTGAGTCTGCCACGCCGTTTGTCGTGTGTTCATCTCCACCACCGTCGCTCCTCACTCTTCTCCCAAGTAAGTGTTTTTTCCCTTTGATATCTCATATTATAGACAGATTTTGATGGCGTTTTAGTGGTAGAATTTCATGTCTGGGGATTGTGCCAGAGAAATTTAAGCACCCTAGGCTCCTGATTCATGATTACACCCGCGATATTCATAGGTTTAGGCATACGGTTTACGATCGTGCCCGTGATACTCATGTGTTTGGCTATTAGATTTATGAACTTGGTCGGGAGATTCATCCTTTCGTTAGTATGTAGGCTAGTTTTCCCCGTAGTATTCTTGTATCTGGCCAGCAACATTATGAACTTGGTCGCGGGATTCATCCTTTGCTCGCGATATTCATGCTATGCTCGCGTCATTCATGATTGATACACGTCCTCCGCTAAGGTCAGTGTTTGGTCGAGGTCTACGTGTTCCCCGTTTTTCGTACGAATAGCCGTTAACTCAGTCTGAGTGTTGCTTACTTCTCCCCGTCTTTGTGGCGGAAAAGCGGATTTGTTGTCGAATTCACCGATTTCCTGTACTTTACAGGTAAATGGCCGATATTCCTGAGTCCTCGGGGCGTAATGATGTCGAGGAAACAAGCACTGCCGAAGAAAGCATCAATCTGGTCGACACCGTCGACGACCCCACTCTGGATTGGGTTGGTGTTGAACCCCGGGGAATAGCTTCGATCTATAGCTATTCCGGTAAACAAGCTTACACTGTCGTCGAGTATGGCGGCGGCCATGAGGGATTTCGGAGAAACTTTAAGATTATGAGGCCGACGAGGATGCCCGTATCTGCTTGGAGTTTACACAAGACGCCTTTCTCATGTACGAGATCGTATTTAAAGATCTCGGGCTCTGGTTGCCCTTCAATGACTTCCAGGTGGGAGTGTTCAACCACCTGAACCTGGCCCCCTCCCAGATTCATCCTAATGCGATTGCCTTTATCCGAGCATTCGAACTCACATTCCGCTTCCTGAGGATTGGGGCGACGGTTCCCCTGTTCTTCAGGGTTTTTCGTCTACAACGGCAGTCTCGAGGAGGGACGCACAGTTGGGTGTCCCTTAAGAAGTCGAAGAGACTGTTTAGGATGTATATGGATTATGTGCGAGATTTTAAGGATAAGTGGTATATTTTGCAACCGTCTATACATACAGCCGTAGATTCGCTGTTCGAACCGGCCACTGTGGTGGACGAGGATGGGGAGCCGTGTTTGGATGTTGAGGGTAATCCCGAGATTGGGAAAGTCTCTAAGTTTCCCATTCACTGGTGTTCGGGCCATTACGACCATGGACCTGGATACTACCACACTCCTGCTGAAGGTATGAGTGTTGAGGACAAGGAAGCTTATGGCATCCTGAACAAGTTTGTCGATGGCTTCTTTCCTGCTCGATGGGTTACGAGGGAAGGGGACGACGTTCTTGATGAGGATGGCAAGCCGACGTTCGAGGCGCGCCCGATCAACACCAAGGCGCTCGTCGAGTGCCAGTCTTACGGGCAAGTCGTAGACCTCTTAGGTTTCTTGCTTTGCTCTATTGACATTTGTTGTACCCCAAAATTTGCCCTCTTATTTATCAAGATTATTCCCACAAGATCTCTTTGACTCAAGACTGGATTAGGGTTTGACCAACTCAAGACATCTCATCATGCACTGATGACCCAAAATTAGGGTTTAAGGTTATACAAGGATTTTTGGACTACCAATGCATCATATGACTTTCAAACATCATTATGAACCCCTAAGATTACTCATGACAAGTTTCAAGCCTTGAATCACATTTTGATCAGTCAATTGGACAATTGACCTAAAAATCAGTTGTATTAGGGGGAAAGTCAACCATGGTCAATTTACAGTCAAACTTTATAATTTTTGATCCACATCAACATTTTAGACTCATATGTATCATTTGATCAAGTTTGGACCACAACTCTTCAAGAAATTTGATCAAATCATCAAAAGGGCAAGATGGCCAAAATTAGGGTTTTGACTGAGAAAGGGCAATTTCTGATTTTTGACCTAGAAAATGATCAATTGGTTTGAAGCATGATTACAAGGTCTCAATTGCACCATCATGACCTAATAACATGGTTCAAAACATTGTAATTTCATTGGATTGACAGATGAAATTTGCAGTCAACTGATCAAAAGTCAACTATTTACTGAAAAGTCAAATTTTGACTTTTTAGTCAAAATCAAGTGCCAAGGATCACAATTCATCAAAGTCTGTCAAAATATGAAACTTGTTCATCAAGAAATCAAAGATTGAAGATTTTGTTTTGAAATTTGAAATTTTTCTTAACTTAGAAATTTTTCTAAGTATAGAAAATTTCTTATTTTTTCTCAACTTTAAGCCAAATTCTCACCATGATACAAGATGATTCAAAGAAAGTTCCCAACATGAAAGTTGTAGATATCCATGAAATATACAACTTTGCTTCACATATTTTCTCCTAAAGATGCTTGGATCTCAAGATATAATTTTGTGAATACATGCCCATGAACTAAAATAACTTAGTGAAATTTTGCCCTAATTTAGGCAGGTTTTTGACCTAACTTCATGGAAATATTTCACCTAGTTACTAGAGGAATATTGAAATGAATTTCAAATATGAGTTATAGAGCATATTGCAAGCTTTCCAAAATATCCAAGAACTCCTTGAGATCATTTTTTAGTAGGGAGAATCGAAGAGATGAAGTTAGCAATTTCTCACTTTTGATTTCAAGCCATTTCATGAAGAACAAAATTCAAATCAGAACTTGTGCTGCCTAATCCATACTTTACAGGTATCAAACTTGTTTCTCACTTCATAACGTAATGCTTACACAGACGATAAAGCCTTAATCCAAGCACAAGAGTCTTTGTCCAAGTTTTAATTCCATAAATGGCACAAAGTTGCCATTGCCATTTTGGAAAAGTATAACTTTTGCAACTTTTCATTTCTTGAGCATTGGACCTGTTTTCTCTGCACACACAAGTCCTATAAACCAAAAACAAGTTTCCTAGAACTTGTACCAACTCCAAGCAGGCCTGTACAAGCATGTAGAGAGTGGTCTCTTCACCTTTCTTAAAAAGCAAGTAAGAGTGCAAAAAGGCTATAGCTGAGAAATCTGTTGTGGAGTGGATTAGAAACCTTCTCTATACTTATACACAAACACATTACAACTGAGAACACGATTGCAAAAGGCCAGAAACTCCCTAA